TTAGTATAAGCCAGACAACAAATTGATACCAAAAATTACAATTTTCTTTTTCAAGACCATTCAGTAAGTGCTTGTAAACCTTGCCAATTAAAATAATTTTTGTTGGAAGGGAAAATACTTGACCTCACTTTAATGTTACCATAAAAATAGTTTACTATCCAAATATGTTCTTTGTTACCAAAATATAATGTTAGTGGTGGACAATAATCACCTACCATATGTATGGTCTTCTGAACTAGAACTGTCCTGGTCCTTTTTGCTTTTCTTTTTGTTTGTTCATTAAAAGAGAAAAACGTCGAATTTGTTATGCATCTATTTGAAAATTGACTATTCATTATATTTGTTATATTTTGTAAAAAATCATGAGGCAATCGGGACATTATGCAAAATAATAAACATTAGTCATTTGTTTGATGATGTAAGCCTTCTTTATGTGTGAAGAATGGTTATTTGAAAATTGATACAAACTCAACAAAACAACTCTACCTATGTTGAAAATTCATGTAAATTCACAGCAGAAAGAGCAATGCTGTTGGGACTCAACCAATTTCCAACTCAATATGAATGAAAATTCACCATTTCAAGGGTTTCTTAGATTACCTTCTTTTGAAAGCTGTGAATAGAAAATATTCTGGCAAGTCAGTTTTCTCTCTCCCTTACTTCGTTTCTGACTATGAACCTTTGGAAAGGCGAATATTTTGTAGAGGCGCTGTTTTTCCTCAGCTTAGCATTGTGATTGCCAGTCCATTTTTGTTTTTAATAGGGTATAGTACAAGGTCATACTTTTGTTATAAATCCCTTTCATGCCCATATTAGGTTTCAAATTTAGAGAAAAATCAAAACCAAAAATTTTTGTGTTAGTTTGTGCTAACAATTTGATTTTCTGTGTTAAATTTTAAATTCATGGTCATTTGGGGTAAATTTGGGGGCTGGGCCATATGGCCCTTGCGGGCACTCAGGGCAGCTAATAAGAACAACTAATAGAAACCAGCTGATAAGAAGAGACTTCTGTGAAGGAAAATGGCAATAATTTGAAAACACTAGTTATAAAAAAAACCACTAAGAACACCCTTTTCAGAAAGATTTCCACTTAAAATGTCTATTATTTCTTGTGAAAAGACAAAAAGCAGTTCCTTTTGTCAGTTAAACAAAAGCCTTTTCGCATTTTTGACATCACAGTCTTGTCTTCTCTCCACAAAGGAAACACCTGGCTCTATCCTGTCTGTAAACAGGACAGTGTTCTTTTCCATCAAATCGGGTGGTTGCTCCAGGACCTTGTATTTCTGGTGCTTTTCTTCATTCGTTGCTATTTTCTCCATTACTTCCTCCACAAGTGCTTCTGCTACAAGTGAAGTCTTTTTGCTTTGTTTTTGGGACTTGTTTTTGCTTTGCAAGTCTCCTGTACAAAATCCGTGCATTTATAAGACATGTTCTAAGAATCCAAAAAAAATCCTCATGTAGCCTTTTCTGCTCCTGTGCTCCATCTTGTAAAGTGCTTGGAATATACCAAATAGATTCACAAAGCCCATACTTCTGTTTTAGGCTTCAACAACTGCTGGTCTTGCTACCTCACTTGAAGACCATCTTCTGACTGAGTCAACTGGTTCTGTATATGCATAATTGGATGGAAATTGCACCATTTTGTTGTCGAACCAACAAACAAAAGTCAAACCTGAATTTAAATCAACAGAGCCATCAAAAGAGCCCCTGCCCTCTTTTTTCAATTCTTTTTCAGTTTTCAATTGGTTTCCTCTCAATTTTCCTTGATGAAGTGTGCCAATTGCCCAAAACACTGACTCCTTCAATCTGAGTAACAACTCAAGAAAGTTGAAATAATTATCAAAATACAGCTTGTAATTTTGACCCTCAAGCAGAGGTGCATGACTTGAGAACCATGTCACCAGCAACAGATCCACAACTTGGCATTGGGACTAGGGGCTTCTTCCATATCAAAATTGCAGCAAAACCCACTCTGTCCATTTCGAGAAAACAGCTTAAATCCTCATTTCTTCGGCTTTTTGAGCGAATATCTTTTCAGGCTACTTTGTCCTTTGAAGGGAATCATCTGCTCATCAATAGAATTGTGTTCTTCAGGCTTTATTTGAAGGCAGTTCTTGCTGAGCTTTTAAAAATAAGGCCTGATTTTGAATAATTTGTCAGTACGTAGGCTTCCTTGTGGAGGTTGGGTTGAATTGTCGAAAAAATGAAGGAATCTTTTGATTTCATCAAACCTGTTTCAAGTCGTCACTTTTGCAACATTATCATACCTTTTGCAGTTCTCACAATACATTATGTACCTGGGATTTGCACAATTTTTAGCAGAATGTCAATGAAGTTTTTTATCTCTTGAGATGAAACCTCAATAGATTGTTTATTCAAATTGCATCAGTTGAGTTTTCTTTCTTGCTACATTAACTTTTAAAACTAGCTCTGATTGCATTATCCCTGTGTTGGCAAATCGAGTCAGTTGAAGATAAGTGTGTGGGATCATCAAAAACTTTATATCATAACCTAAAAATCTGAGAACATACTCACTTTCGAAACTGGTCATTTGGTTTTTTTTGAAATCGATGATCACAAGGTTTGGCATAAAATCCTGGCTTGAAACATGCAAGCTAAAATAGGCCAGCGAGTAAGCTGAAGTCAAGCAACGAATGGGAAGCTTTTTAGGGAACTGACCCTTTTTAGGGAACTGCAGAGAAGTTGAGATAAAACATTCCAAGATACCTTTTGTCTCCTTCTTCCAGCTCTTGCAACCTTTCTTTGTGTGTAGGTTTCTTTGATTATTAAGCCACAGTTTCCCAGCACCCAAAAGACAGTGGAATTGGCGGCATGCCAATGTTGAATTGTTGACTGGCAGTTGGCATGGCAGCATGGCCTCAAGGAGCACTGCCCAATTTTTAAGCACTTAAAACACAGATATTGTTAGTTAATTAGAACAAAAGTTCAAACCTGCATTCTAAATAATCAGATTGCTTTGTGTTTCGATGGGGGCCTAAACTGAACTGAACTGAATTTCCATTGATTGTAGTTTATGGAACAACCACCTATTCCAACGGTCCTGCAGTTTTCAGTCCCACTATCTTGCACCATAATCACAAGGGAGCACATACTATCATCCCCCTTCATGTACTGGATGCTGCAGTTTTCAGTCCCACTATCTTGCACCATAATCACAAGGTAGCACATACTATCATCCCCCTTCATGTACTTGATGCTCTAGATTTATCGCCTTACTGCAATACTGATGTGAACACAGACGTTTTCTTAATGTTAATTGATTGCTAAAGGCCATGCTTGGCAGTCACTAGGAGAAAATAACTTTGATTTTGAAGTAAGTCTTGATAGCTTTCAAGAGTTCATTATGTCTGCTGTATTCACCATCGACAAAATCAACCACAGTAAACAAATTAAGATGGGAGCTGTTTACCAGAGAAAACATTGAAGCAAAAAAGTTACCTCCAACTTTAAGAGCATTGATTCCTCACATACAAAGAGCAAATTTTATTGCTGGGATTTTTAAGGGATATAAAACTGCGATTAGTGAAATTTAACCCTCTTCTTGGAAACGGTTGGCAAATGCAGAGGTGGATGAGGGTATGGAAGTACCAATAAAGTGCCTTGAGCTGCCAGCCACACAATCAGTTCTTGAACTTGTCAAATGTGGATTCAAAGGTCGATGCAAGGGCAAGGGACGAGGGAAATGTTCGTGTTTGAAGAATGAGCTGTTATGCACTGAACTTTGCAAATGTGTAGATTGCGAAAATATTAAAGACTGTGCCGCAGCTGAAGAGACTGATTCTGGAGAGGAAGTCAAAATTCATTAACGTATTTAAACTCTTTGTTGTTCTTTAATGCCCCTTTATTCTCAGCAGCTTTTCAATGTTATCCACAAAAGCTGATGTTTAAAATGTTTTGTAGAAATTTCTGCTTTTTAGCAATCAAGGGACATCCCCTTCAACTTTTTAGCAATTAAGTCACTGTCACCGTCTCCAACAAATGTTGTATAATTTAGGTTTCTTGTTGAAACTGACCGTAAAAATATTTCATTTGGCACCTTCTGTCTCCATACTATCTGAGGACCCTGTATGATTAATACTGCAGTTTTGTTTATGGTAAATCATCTATTCTTTGTATACTTCTTGTGACATATTCGCAGCTCCATGTTTTATACACTCATGGCAAGTCATACTTTTGACCACAAAATCCAAAACTTCACCAGTTTTTACTGAAATGACAAAAACTACACCATTTTTGGAACCATGACCACCACGCTGCCATGTTCCATTCACTTTCACAACAACTTTTGCTATAGGTGCACCATCCTCATCAGCTACTACATTTTCAGGCTCTTCCTCCTGGGTAATCTTTATAAGCCTTTCAGCAGCCTGTTTAGTGCATTTAACAGCTTGTTGATGAGCAGTGTCAGAAAGATTTTTCAAAATTACATGAAAGGACTTTGCATTTGGTGGCTTTGGTAAATCTGCAGATGCACAAAACCTTGAGAGACCTTTAAGCCCCAATCCTTTTGAGGCAGCATGTACAGCTCTCAAATTAACACCAAAGGTTCCTTTGGCTTTCGTCTTGCGACTTGAGACAAGCTCTGTTGATGTCTTGCGGAGACTACATTTTAGAGAAAACTGTTGAGCAAGTACTTTTCTACCATTCTCATCTTCAAAAAGAGTCAATTTGGATTTAGGATTTCTGCATTTTCCACGAATTGCAGCAGAACTTACACAATCTTGGATTCTTTTGACTTCAATAAGAGCATAGCCTGAGCCTTCCACTAGCCCCACCTTTTTTATCCTTCCTGTCATAGCACTTCTTTTCCTGGTTACCCTTCCTGCAAAGTAAAGAGTTCTTCAGCCTTTCAGCACTTATATTTCTTACTTCT